TATTTTCTACTGTCTGCTTCTTCCCCACAATTTTCTCTCCCCAACACACGCGGAAGAAAAGAGATTAAACCCGCTACTCGTTGCGGTGCGCGTTGAAAGGCTCTGCAATCACCACCAGCACCACACAAACACACACACAACCGTCGCGGCCTGAGCGAATCTACCGCAAGGAAGAAAGAAAGAAAGAGAGAGAGAGAGCAGCGACAACTCAACATGCCCCGGTATCTGTTTTCTTCTGCGGTGCTGCTCCTTCTCTGCGTGTTGTTGATATGCTTTGGCAGTACGGCTGTGCACGCTGAGGGGAACAAACCAAAGGAAGTGCAAATACCGGACCCTGTTGATCTTTTTGTGCCGAGCCAAACGATTGTGGAAACACAAGGCCAAAGTCAAACAAGGGATTCCTTTGTATCACCGTCCCTCGCCAGTGCTGGTGGAGTGTTGGTTGCACTTGCCGCGGGTAACATCAACTTTAAATACTCCAAGGAGGATCGTATTTCAGTCGATTATGCTGATGTTCTGGCGGGGTACTTTGACTCTGCGGAGAACTGGTCGTCTTTTGTCGCTAAGGTCAATGCAAACAGATGGAAATCACACAATATTTTTAGCATGTCTGTTCAAGTTGAGCATAAGCCGCATGTGAGGTGCGTGTTAAAACCCACAACGGTTGCAAAGGGCAGCAAAGTGTTTCTACTTGTGGGAGGACATTATTTGAAATTTGATCCTTCATCGAAGAGTTGGATTGTGCTTTTACAGGGTCTTGATTTGCTCGTGGGTGAGGCCACGCAAGATAAAGTCATCCAATGGGGCAAACCCACCTCACTTTTATCACAGATTGAACCATCTGCTGAACAACGTGGCCTGGACCAGTTTGCAGGTGGTGGTGGCTCGGGCGTTGTGATGGAGGATGACACGCTTGTGTTTCCTGTGACGGCGAGGGATGCATTAGCCGACACTGTCTCCATGATCATTTATTCGAAGGACGACGGCAAAAATTGGTTGCTTCCACTTGGGATGCTCCCCGCGGAATGCACTGACCCCCTCATCGTCGAGTGGGAGCAGGGGCAGCTTCTAATGATTGCCCAATGCAAGTTTGGCCCCAATGTGTTCGAGTCGAGGGACATGGGGGAAACGTGGACGGAGGCTGGATGGACACTTACGGGCGTGCAGCCCAGGTTTTCATCGTACTTCTTGCAAAGGGATTGGAGTGTCACATCCTTCACCACTGCGACCATTGCTGGAAAGAAGGTCATGCTGTACACCCAGAAAGAGATTCCCCCTGGGGAGAAGGTGGCAAAGGAGCTCTACCTTTGGGTTGCTGACAACGACCGCACGTTTCACGTCGGGCCCATTTCCATGTACACTAAAGAGATGCTGCGGTCGAAGTCCGGGAACACCCTGCTGCACTCTAACGATGCGTTGCACCTTTTACAAGAGAGGGTCAGCAAAACGACCACAGGCCTCATTTTTTCTCTCTAACAGAGCAGCTGAAGACGATCACGTCCATCTTGGAGACTTGGGCAAAAATGGACTCCTTCCTCTCCAACTCGTCTGTGCCCACGGCCGGCCTGATTGGATTCTGTCGGATGCA